GGCGAGGCGCTGCGGAGGCAGGTGCGGCCCGAGCCCCCGCGGCCGCCGCGGGACGGGCCCGGCAGCAGCGAGCTGCGGGAGCGGGAGGGAGAGCCGCCCCGCGGGTCCCGGGGCGGGGTAGGGGGGTGAATTGCATGGTGGTTTTCTCAGACACAGACCACGGGAATGTTCTGCAACGTGCTGCTCTTTCAGGTGGAGGAGCTCACTAAGGAAGCCCAGAATAGGGAGAAGAAGAAGGATACGTCTAGTGTAGAAGTACAGACAGACGAGTATGCGGCGTGGTCAGAAACAGGTAGAGTAATTGCATAGAGAGGTGCATGGGACAGTGATGTTAACGTTCTTTGTCTCTCAAAATAAAGTCCGTTTTAATTCAGTATTCTAAGCTGCATCAAACTGTGTAGCTTCACAGAAACTTTCAAACCCAAGCCACGTGTTTTAGAGCTGCTGTCATGAGTACTGGTGTGTTGTTACATGAGAAGCTGTCGTTTTTCTTCTGCTCACACTATTGCTTAGGTTGATGTCTTTACTTTGAAGCCTCTCTGTGCTTATGTGATATCCCTGCATAGTTTGGGGAAGTGTTTTCAGACTAACTTCTGTGATTTTGCACGTGAAATTCCTGCATTTTACAGACTTTTTAAAATTTTTCATATCTTGAGTTGAAACTTATGCTTTCTCAAGAAACTTGAGAAGCATATAGAAAACACGATAAAACAGCATGGACTGTAGCAGGAGTCATGCCATAGTAATCTGACAGCACTCTTCAATACACAACCTGGGTTTCTTTTTTCTTTATTTGGAACTCATAATTTGAATTTGTTTACTTCTCCCCCCCTTTTTCTATTTCTCTTGTCTGGTCTCACTGAAAGGCTGTAGTTTTCCAAGATTGTGACACTTCCATATTACAGTTTCTTGCAACAGTTTTGTTGTTGCTTTGTTTTGTTTTTCTTGTTCGTGTAGTGCAATGGAATTCTCTTAAGTATTAGTTTTTAAGCTTTTGGGGCAGGGGCGGAAAGGGAGAGAGGAATTACATAACTGTGTTTCACCAGTGTTCACCATTTCTTTTCCACCAGTGCAATTAAAACAAGACTTGATTTGTTCAGTGGCAGTAAAATAAATAAAAATGGATGACATTGTGGTGATTGATTAGATTACTTACATGCATACATTTTGAGATTAAATTTTAGGATGCTTCAGTTGTCTTGTGTAAAATACTGCTTTGCTAATTTATGTGACTTTTTTTCTGCAGATTATTACTATTATGAAAATTATTACAACACTGACACTCAAGATTGTGCATCTGAAGTGCAGCACAATCAAGGAGCTGAAGGCACTGAGCATAATGTGGCTGAAGAATCACAGGCAGCTGGTAGCGTTCCTTTAGAGGGGGATAGCACTGAAGTTGCTGCAGGTGGAAAAGAGGAAAACTTCACCCAGAATTATTCACAGGTCATAAAACTGTTTGGGATATTACAGATTTTGAAGTCACTATTTTATTTCTCATTTAATGTATGCTCTTTTGGTTTAGATATCATGTTTGTGTGTGTTACTGTTGTTTATTTTGTCTTACTTTGCTTTTGTTTTGTGATGCTTGCTCTGACACTAACAATTGTCAATGAGCATCTTTCTTTGTGCTTTGGAGCTTTTTTTCCTATGATGTTCTGATTGTAGGATTAGTTCTGAAGTTTAAAAATGTCTGCATGCTCTGACATATTTTCATTATAATTTTTCAATACCAAATGTTGTTACTGACCTTTTAAATGAAGGTAGGCAAGAGCACTGGTCTGAAAGCACGCAGTTTAACAATGCTGCCGGTAGTATAAAATTGATTAGTTTAAGTGTATTTTGAAGAAATCATAAACGTTAACAAGCATTACATACTTGTTTTAATACACTAATGTTTAGTCTGTTAATTTTTCATCAGTATTCCCAGTTATTTGTAGGACTGCATAAATAAATTGCTGCTAATTCTTGTTTTTATACTCAAATCTATAGCAAATTCATCAGCTCTTATGCTGCTGATGAAAAGCGCTTTTTCATGTAATACATGGATGAATGTGTTTATGGTTTAGATAGCATTAATACCCAGTTATATATATGCATTCTCTGTGTTTCAAAGAAAACATACATTATACTACTGGATTGGAAGCACTGAAAGTATGGCATGGTTTTATCAACATTTTTCTGTGTAATATGGCCATACTGACTCTTTCTTGTTTTTGTTTGTTTGTTCCTTTCCATTGATATAAAGGGGCAATATATAAGGAGAAGGTAATTGGTTTTCTGCTATTCAGCCTTCTACTTATCTTGCTCACTTGGCTTTTTTTGTGGTTTGACTTGTAGTAACTAAAATGGAACTGATAGTGGAAACTTAATTTAGAAAAGTAATGGAATATACTGTGTTTAGTTATGACATGAACAACTTCTGAAAAGAAAAGGCATAGGATGACATCTCTGGTCGCACTGAAGTCAGTGGGAGCTTAGCAGATTATAACTGGAGTTAACGTTCCTTCTAATATCCTCTGAAACGATCTAAATCCATAGAGCATTAATTTTTCTATTTAAAATAGAATACTCTACAAACTTGTTAGTTAAACCATTTGATATTTCCTGTATGGAAGAAAATTTAATTTCTTTTTGGTTTTAGGAAGCAGAAGATACTTCAGTACCAGAGGGTTCATTGGCAGAGAGCTTGAGAGCTGCTGCAGAAGCTGCTGTTTCACAGACTGGATTTATTTATGATGAAAATACAGGATTGTATTATGACCATAGCACGGGATTCTATTATAATTCGGTAAATATCTTTCTCAAAATAGAGGTAAAATAAGCTCTTTTGCAAATGTCAAAGCAATAAAAATGGTTATGAACAGAGAAGCAAGTATTGTAATGAAGGCTACTAATAAGGAAAGCTTGTTAAGAGTTGCTAAATTATTTAGGTCAAATTAAAAGTGGCAAGCCAAGCTTTTAACAGGCTCTTTGTCTCCTAGGTTTTTAACTTAGTGTTCTTGTATTAAAAAAAAGTTGCAGAAATTTTATAAAGTTTCTGTGCAAGTCTCAGTCAAGAGCTTGAGCTAAAAAGGTGTGACTGCTTTTTAAAAAGGCGAGTTCTTGAATCTGTGTGAAATCTCCGCCGTGGATAAGATATCTTGGGAGAAAATGCAAGCAATAGTAATTTAGATGAGTACATATACCAAGTAGTTCCTTCTTACAGGAAAGAAAATACCATTATAAAAGTACCAGATAGTGGATCCATTTCTACATTATGTTTTTCGTAAGACAGCAATTTGTTTTCTGTTTGGCCTATGAACTATGTATATGTATATACGTAGCAATATCTCTAACTATAGATCCGTGCATATACACTGAGAATCACAAAACAAGTTGAATTACTCTGCCAAAAAAGAAAACTGCAAGTTTGCAGTACTACATAAATTTCAAAAACAACCAGCCAAACAAACAAGAAAACTCTATATGTAGTGTTCCCAAAAGAAATTGGGTAAACTATAAATTACAAGCAAGTTTATGTGAACTTTGAGAAATAGCTGCTTTGCCTCCATCCCCACAGTGAGATATTTGAAAGGGAAGTCTCAGTCTACTGTGAATAGCCATGAGTTTGGGAGTCTAAAGTCAATGTCATTTGACCACATTTTTTACTGGAGCCACCAGTAAGTGTGGTTCAGTAAAGCATGTATAATTGTGCTTGTTAGGTTACCTAAGAAAACAGGAGAAATTGTTTTGATTGCAAGTATGTTTCTGTATTTTGAGTTGTTATTTTATTGTTGTTAAGTCCTATATTCGTTATATCAGAAGTAGTTAGGTATGTAGGTGTCAGTGACTGGAGTTAAAGATCTTGACTTATATAAATACACAGAAGATAAATGGATGTATTTGTGGGTTTTTTTGCTGCTTTTTTTGCTTTTTTCTGTGTCCTGCATGACAGGAAATATTCTTTAGTACCTCAATTATTTCCTAAAATTTGACTGTTTTGTTGAACTATTTGATAAATGCTATGTAAAATAAATAATGATAGCATCGTGCTTTTTTTTTCTAAAGGAAAATCAGTTGTATTATGATCCAGCAACTGGAATTTATTATTATTGTGATGTGGAAAGTGGCCGATACCAGTTTCATTCAAGAGTGGATCTGCAGTCTTATCAGGCTTCTAGTACTCAACATGCCAAGGATAAAAAAGGGAAGAAGAAAAGAAAAGATCCCGAGTGGAATACCTCAAATGATTTTAAGGTAACTGTAAGAGATGTGAAATGTAGAACCTATTTTTTCAAAATGCAAGTTAAGCTTTACTTTTTTGTTGTTGTTTTGATGCTGCTGAGGGACAGTTAAAATCACACTCTGACACGAAAGCACTAAAATAACTTTTCCATTGAATGATTAAGAATGGAACCTTAAACTTAGATTTTGTTACAGTTTTGGTGCTAGTTAGATCTTTACATTGGGATGTTAGTGAAACTCTTTAATGGGTAAACACATTAAGGTGAATTATGTTAGGGTGTGGACTTAAGTTTTAAATATAACTGGTTTTGTATCGGCAACTCAACTGTTGCCCTAGTGACTTGTTTTTAAACTTGTTTGTTGAGTAAAAAAAATTTGTTGTTTTTAAACAAATTCTTCATGACTCTGTATTCCAAAGCTCATTTCAATGCTGTTTTACTGTGTTTTTTCCATCAGTGGGATTTATGAAATGTCTGTGATATTTTAATTCTTTTCATATTATTCTTCTATTGATATTTTATTTGAGACATTTTGTTGTCCTTAGTGTGAGTTAACTGTACATCTTAATGAATAAATGCCCACTGTAATCAACTTTAGGTTAGGAAGGTGTTATTTTCCATATCTGTTGTCCTCTGATTGCTAAGAAAGCATACCATATGTTACCTAATTGAGTGGCTTGAAAAATATTGCATATTGCTCATACCTGAATAGCAGAATTTCTGTTGTTGCACACCTGTTGACATTCAAGTAACATTTTCTTGATGAATGTTATTACCAGTGTTGAATCAAATCCATCTAGTGCTCTTCTGCAAATCTCTTTAATTACTTGAGATTTAATTGAATGTATTGGCTGCAGTTGGCAGAACTCGTTAGCTTTCATTTCTAAAACTTCTTGCCAAGCTGGTTGAAATCTGAAATAATTATTTTAATGTACAGATTTTCTTATTAAACAATTGCAGAACATGAATGGAGAGTTCAAAAAAGTGTGCAAAGATTTAGGCTTTCTGAAAGTTTTTTTTAATGGAAACTTTTATATAAAGAATTACTGAAGGAGAGTTATGTGGATAGAGGTTACTGTTTGTTAAATCCATAATGAATCAGTTTGTGGCTGATGAAGTGCTCAGAGCAGAAATTCCTGTAAGTGGGCCATTCTTTTTGAAATCTTGAGATGGATACAACTGAGTGCAACAATGCTTTAGACTTGTGAGTTAATGAGGTTTTAGATGTTTTTATCAGCATTTGTGCTCTGTACTTGGTGTCTGCCATGTACAAGTATGGGATTACTTTGTCAGTCTTAAAGGCATCACAAATACAGGATTTAATGTGCTTTCTGCCAGGCTACAAAATGGAAAACTTGTATGAACAAGCCTGCCTTATGCAAGTAGTAAGGCACTTTAAATTTAGTTCTGTAATGAACTGTTACATATTGACCTAAATCTTAAAGTATATTTAGAAAAGTCCCGTGGCATTGCTTTGACCTAGCAATTACATTTGAGACTTTCTGGAATCCTGTAACCTTATGCTTAGATTGTCTGATTGAACTTAAAATAGCTACTCCTCCTGAGCTGGTTTTATATTAATTGAACGTTCTTATGCAAATAATCTTGTTAGGAAATTAGTTTTTTCAAGTAAGTTTACATTATCACAAGGTAGGAGGTAAACATCCACTTTTTACAATGTGTTTTATTGATGGTGAACTAAGTACTTTGCGTTGTTTGTCAGTTCCATCTGTTTGACCAACAAGTTAATGGGGAAATCAATCAAATGGGTGATGGTGTCATAGTAAGAAACAAGACTGCTTTTAGCTTGGAGAAAAAAAAAAGTGAAATTTAAAACAATTATTCTTGGTATTTTTTCTCATTAAGAAATTAATTTATTCGATTTAGAAACAAGTTAAAATAGAGTAGAAGTTAAGATACTGTTCTGATATGAAAGTTTTTTTAGTTATAAAACTGAAAAAGTTTGCTAGCCGTGCAGTGTGCTTTTTAGATGTATGGTATTTCTTGGCAATATGTTGTTGTCCAGTTCTGTCTGGTATTGTTGAAGGTGTTAATTAGTTCATGCTAGTTATTGTATCACCTAAATGTATCCCGAGACAAAAATTAACTGCATGAATGAGACCTTCGAAAAACATACAGCAAAGTTGATATATGGAAACTCTGGAAATATCTAGCAAATTGTTATGTCAAAGCTTACGGGCTTCATCAATGACATTTTTCTTTTTTCCCCATAAATGATTTTTACAAGTCTGTATGAACAGTTTATTTTGAAGTAGTGTCTAAAATTTTATTGCAGTATGCTGCTGAAAATTCACTTCTGTTATCATATTTTCCATTTTAGATACTCTCTAGGTACTTCTGTAAGAGACTAGACTTTGGTAGTAGTATTTCCCATGAAACTCTTGAAGCAGTGATTATTATTATTATTTTTATTTTTAATCATGTAGTTTACTTTTTGCTGATATTCATCCCGTCTTTAGGTACGTCAGTTGACAGAAACCATGGCTAATCTGAAGATTTCTTCTTTTGGATTGGCAGCTTCTGGTGAAGGTAGAGTTGAGACACCAAACACATTAGTCTGTGGATGTTTACCTTTAACCTTGATATATTTATTTTTTAAAAAATCATAGTTAATGTTTAGAAAACTATTTACATAGAAAAATTACTAAACTTTTTGCCTTTTTTGGTTAAAATCAGTTCATTTGAAGTAGTTTCTAATGTATTTGAAATATTGTATGAATAAAATATATGAAGACATTGGTGCTCTAATATCCGGGAAAAGATTTAGTTCACTGTGGTAATATCAAGTGTCTTGTCTAATAATTTAGGTGTTCTTTAGATAAGGCAATTCTGCTTCTTGTAATTCTCAACTGCCTGCTGGTTAATGAGGTAGCTTTGTTATGATATGGCAAGAGGAGTTTTACTATATTAGAGTTTTTTTGTTCATTTTGCATTGGAAGTTCCTGCATTGTGTAGACTGGAAGACAGTAACAGGAGTGCCTGTAAAATGGCCCTATCAAACAAGGGAAAGACCCTTTTAAAACTCTTTAAATACTTCAAATACTTCTAAGTATTTCTTTAATAAAATACTTAGTTTCAGATTCTTGTTTCAAAATAAGAAATTTGGTGCTAAATACATTTAGCCTTTTCAATTAGTGTTACATATTCATGTTATATTCACTTAAATTATCTAAACTTAAAGCCAAGAAGCAGCAAACCTTTCGGACATTTCTGAAGAATTGCATTTATATAGATTATGTTTGAGTTCAGTTGAGCTAGATAATATAGTTGAATTAGTGCATTTGCTAGAACTGAGCCAGTTATGGTGATTAGAAGCTCAAAATTATTAGTAGTCTACTGTGTAGACCTGCTGAAGAGTTGTATGAAAATATAGGTAGATCTGGCATAATAAAATGTGAAGGCATTCTGTAAAAGACAACGTTTGGGTTTTGCTGTGTCACAGAAAAGCAAGAATTTAGGGTTGAAAATATTTTAAGCATTTTTAAAACACTTTAGTTGTTATCCACGTATTTATTGTAAGTAGGCCAATTTGTGCTTCAGAAGGCTTTTGTATGAAGGCTTCTTTGTGACCTCTTCTTTGTAAAGCAAACCATTGCTTCCTGTCACATGACAAGGATTTATAATTTTTAAAAGATTCCCACTTTATGGGATACATAGAAATGACATGCTGATCACATTTTTTTTTAGAGGATCATAATATAATTAAAGTTGGAAGGAACCTCTGGAGAACCATGTAGACCAGTGCCCTTGTTCAAAGCAGGGTTGACTGGAGTGAGTGAGTTGGGAAACTGTCTAGCTGGGTTTTGAGCATCTCTGAGAATGGCAGTTCCACAGCCCATCTGGGCAACCTGTTTGGCCAGTCTCGTAGTAAAGAAGTATTTTCTTAAGTTCAAGTGGAAATTCATGTGTTTCAGTTCATGCCTGTTGCCTCTTTCCTGGGCACTGTTGAGAAGCTGATCTCATCTTCTTTATGCTTTCCCCTTGAACACTTAACTGTACTAATAAAACACTACTACTCCACAAGAGCCTTCTGTTCTCTGGGCTAGGCAGTCTCAGCTCTCAACCTCTCATAATATGAGAAACGATGCAGTCTCTCACTCATCATTTTCGCCACATTGCACAGCTCAGCCCAGTATATCTGTGTCTCTTGAACTGGTACTGAGCAGAGAGGAGGGATCATCCCCCTTGACCTGCTGGCAAAGTTCCCTAATGGGGCCCTGGATGCTGTTGGATACCTTTGCTGCATGGGCATGCTGTTGGCACATGTGCAACCTGTCCTTCAGGACCCTAGGTTCTGTAATGCATAGCGGTGTGTGGGGTGATTACTCCCCCCATTTCCCTTGCATCTTTGGCTGTGTCTTTGCCAGGAATGTAGAGCTGTAGATGAGCTCTGTTCTGCAGTTATGAAATAGGTTATTATGGAACAGATTCATCTCATTGCTGGTCGTCTTTCGTGCTCTGTTGGTGAAAAACCAGAGGTTGTGTGGTGATGGCCAGCACCAACAAAGTTACCCAGAGCTGAGCTGGGCAAAGGCTCTGTCCAACGTGAGGCTATTGCGGTATGAAGAAAAGGATGTGCCTGGTATTATGGTGTAATAAGAATGTGGTTGTAGAAGAGCATGGACTTGCATAGTATTTGTGATGTGCTATGAGCTTGGAAAGAAGAGTGAGATACCCTCAGAGGGGAAAAAGTGCAGTGCTTTTATTTCTTAGATCATTTGGGGTTGTATTCATTGTATGTTTTATTTACTCTTGGTTCCTTTTCCTAAGCAGTGGTAGTGGAAGTTATTAGCTGCTGTTTCCATAGTTACTCACATGTGGTGCATACCTTCTGCAGCAGTACTGCAAGTCATATATAATGAAAAAGGGTCTTAAGGAATCTACATCCTGTAGATTCAAGTGTTTAAATAAAAGTAGTATTATGCAGTAATTCAGCTAATTTATTTTGTGTTTTGCATAGTTTTGGTGAACAATAGTGTCCTGAGTACAATAGTGTCCTGAGTTTGTTCTAGTTGATTTCAGTAGGAGGATTAGTCGTCTCAGAAGTGTAACAGCTCTGACATTGTTCATATTGATTTAAAAGCATCTGTGCTTACTGTTATAAATCCAGTAAATTTTCTTGCCCTAATTAAATGGGCAAATAATCACCTCGTGCTGATTTGCTGTTTGTCTTTTGTACAGATGTAGTGAGTCTTTTTGTCTTGCTTGCTAGAGGTGTGTAAGGATACAATTTCTGCAGAAGATGGAGAATGTGAAGATTACCTTTATATCAGCACTTAATAAATAACAAGAGAATTTAGTTTGTTTTTAAGAGCTGATTATAATAAAATCCAGAAACTATGGAGAACAGGTTAAATGGTTGTGTTGGTAGAATGATCTACTGATGGTAGAGAAACCCTAAACAAATCTGAGTAATGCAGACTGGTAGTTCTTCAGTCAAAGCACTATGAGTCCTTTCAATATTTGATCCTTCTTGAGGATCTGTTCAAAGTGTTTCAAAAGCACCCTGGTAAGGTGCCATTCAGTGGCTTGACTGCATTGCTGAGAAGTTGTTTCATGTTTGTCTTAAAGCTATGCCACTGATAAGGTTTTACTATTTTGGTCAAATTCACTTTTCATATTGGTAAACTGGGAAAGCTTTAATTTCCCTATGGTTGATATTCACACTCATTCGTATATTTCAAACCGTGGAATGTTCTGCATTTGGGGAGGGGGGAGAGTCAGGAATGCTTTTTACTTTATCTGCTTGTATGACAGTATGTCCTACTATTCAGGACCATTCTAAACAGTACTTAAATGGTTTTAGAAAGGTACTTGTTCTAAACTCAAGATATAAAACCTCAAACTTTATTATTTGCTATTTAACTCTTAAAGTCACCTAATTTCTCTTTGGAAAGAAGATTGTTGGGGTTGGTCAATTGAGAACTAGATTTTTCAAGATGTGGTGATGGAAGAACCTACAGGAAATCATTTTGTTTGGTACAGTGGCAAAAGTATTTTGGTGAATGGTTTTGTTAAAGTTGCAGTTCTGAAAACAGGAAGAGAAGGTCACTAGTCAAGCATTGATGGGCATTTCAGGTGTTTGGGACCATTATGGAAAAAGAAACAAGAAGACAAAAGCAGGAGGAAGATCTGATGAAGATCAACTGAAGATGTTTAAAAAGACTTGCAGGAATTGAGAGAAACAAAAGGAGGAATCGTAAAATCAAATCTGGAAAGCATTCAGGATGGTATTGTACAAGTTGGAAAGTGAGGACAAGGATCTTGAAATATAGTGTGAGAAAACAGGAGTAAATAAACGTTAGAAGAGAAGAGGAATACAGTCGTACTTTCCCAAGGAGAAGATGATCTTAGCCATGTCTAGTAGGATATGGAAAAGGTTTCTACTGAAATATGTCTGTTATCTGCATGCACTAAACTTTTTGAATTTTGAAGTTGTTTCCTAACTGTTCCTAGGGAAAATACTTGCTAGTGAAAACTTCAATTTCAGGCTACTAGCAGAGTTTAGAATAACTCAATCTGTAAAGAACGTAACATTCCTCAAGTTTGATTTCTGTAAATCTTCCCCAGGATTTGGACACAGAAGAGCAAAAATCTGCTAACAGTCTGAATTGTTCTTCCACTACGGAGCAAGTACATCCTACTGAAGAGGAAGAATCTCCAAACACAAGAAAGAAAACTAGAACGGACGCGGACATACGAAACAGTGTAACAGCTAAAGACTCGATTTCTACAGACAACATAAATTTACATTCAAGGAAAAGTACACCAGATACTGGGACATGTACAGATGACAGTAAAACCATAGATACAGAAAGTGAGCCAGAAGAAGGTGAAATTATGGATTCTGAGTATGAAGAGTATAGCAGTGAGGAGGAAGTGACAAGTGAAGAAACTGCTGAATCAGAAGTCTCAGAATATGAAGGTGAATTATTGTGGCTTTTGTGTATAGTATTATTTTTTTCCAGGAGCCCATTAACAAGAAAATGATTTGGATATTTAAAGTAAGTGTGCAATGCGATATTTTGGGTTAAGCGCTGCTGTGTGTGTGTGTATATATATAGTGAATGTTTGCTTTCATTCTCTCCCTTTTCACTATAGTCAGAACTAAGCAGGAATGTTTTATCAAAGCTCTTGGTTTTAAGTGTGCTTACCTAGAAGCCTAGATGATTGAATAAACTTCGATCAGATTAGTGACTGGAAAAGTGAATGTGCTAAATAGAGATTCTAGTGTGGACCTCATGGTGGTTCTGTGGATTAACTTTAAAATTAATATGTAGTATTTCTAATGCTTTTGATATACTCATGGATAAATCAGTGTAAGAGTGAAATTCACTGTGGTGAAAAAGTGAATGTGAAATATTCCATACTGCCCTGAATCCTATTTTCTGTGTATTTCTGTGTCAGTTTGTAAGAACTTAGTTGAGAAAGGACACTGTGTACTTTGCTTGTGTCAAAGAAAGAGTTACTATAGGCCCTCAAGACCTCCTTGAAGTTGAATAGTCATGCAAAAAGATGAATCTGTGGAAAAGAGTGTATAGCAGAGGATATCCCAGATCACAGGATGAGATAAAAACTATGGAAGTCTTTACTGCAACTGGTTTCCTGGTTAACAGTTGCAGGTTCTTTTTTCTTCTACTATTTCATTTACTCATCCACTCGATTCTGAGTGATTAATACTAGTCAAAATGTGCTTGCTACACTCAGGCTTTTAGATTTTTTCTTTCATTGTTTCTCTTATCTTATTGATTCTGCAACAATGTTAGAGTAGAAGAAACTGGAGGCAATTTCTCTCCTCCAAATACTTGGTGAGATGGTCTCTTCTCAGCTTGCCCTGTCCTTATATCAGCTCAGTGAAGGCTCTTTCTACAAATGCAGATCCAGGAACAAAATTCATATAGCTGTTACAAATGTCATTAATATGTACTGAGACAAAGAGTATGTGTATCTATACACATATAATCTCATCTATTATTTCTTACCTGTGTTGATGCTCAGTGCTTGGTAAAACTTAGGAAAAATGCGGCATTTGCCAGAGAATTAATGAGGTTTATGTGCACTGGGATTAGGATTTAGTGAACAAAGATGTTGTTGCTGCTCAGTAAAATCGTGTTGAACCCGATTATCCTTAATCTGTGGGATTATAACTAATGTGGGATTGTAACTAATGGTCCATAAATATGTAGTATATTATTTAATTTTACAAGTTTATATATTTTATTGTTGTAAATATATGTGTATGTAGATCTGAACTAGAACAACTTTTCTAACTCATCACTTAACGGGAAAGCAGAAAGCTTTTGAAACAGTAGTTGCATCAAAGCTTCTTCTCAGATATGCTTATGTTTACTATTTTGAAACATTTTTTTGCCAGATCATTTTAACTAACGGTGATTCAAGCTTTATGGTATAAAAGGATACCAGTTGTTTGAAAATTATGTAGTTATGAACTATAGGAGTAAAATTGTGATTTGTAGGTAGCAATGATTTTGTTTGTTTTATTACTACAGATGAAGAAAAAATATGGCCTCCTTGCATCAGAGTAATTGTAATAAGATCCCCAGTACTACAGACTGGATCACTTTATATTATCACAGCTGTGAAACCTGCTACAATTGGAAGGTAAATCTGAATAGAACTTATATAATCTTAAATTATCTCTATCTTTGAAAGCTGTATAAGCTACTCAATATTCCTGTCTACTGTTCTAGCTGGCAGCAGTTGTCAGGTACTGTGTTTAGCCCACAGTAAGAGGTTTAAGCCACCTAATATCGTGGCCGCTGTCCTAACAGCATGTGCAGGTAACAGAGCTCAGCAAGCCATGAAAGCCTCTTAGGCAGTGAAAAACATCTCAATGGAGTGGATTGCTTGCCTAAGGCTTAATGGCAGCATAAATTACTGGTAATTTATTGAAAACTATTGAGAACTAACTATCTTAGTGAATAAATTCCTGGGCTCCTGAGTGAATTTTTCAGAAATGAAATAATATACTTTAGAAATTCAGGGCTTCGAAGAAGCATAACAGTTGCCTTTGCAAACCTGGACTTATCGCACATTCAGATTCCAGTAGGGTCAATGCATCATGTTAAAATAGCAAGTTTGACTTTGATAGCCTGTTTATGTGGCTTATCTTGCTAGAAGAAAATACATCTTGTATTTTTTGTCATTGTGCATATTAAAGAAGTGCTGAATTGAGTGCTGTATTAAGACCTCTTCAGTATTTACTGTTATCATCAGCTCTTCAGCTGCTTTTGATTGGGGCTGGCACATGTCTTTGATTTGCTCTTAACTGAAGCTTCCCAGGTCCATCTGTTCATAAGTTTAATAGATGTCAGTGCTTGCAACTTGCCTTCTTTCCTCTTTCTTTCAACTGCAGTAGTTTTGACTGATAAATCTGTGCAGGTTACTATTCCATTGCTTGTATTACCTGCCTAACACTGCTAAGAATTGAACTGTCCTCCAAAATTGATGCACCAAAAAGCATAAATGATGCAGAGTTCACAGGCTGTAATTTACAGGACTGGTAGAAGATTAAAAAATCAGGTAGAAATATGAGATTTCTTGGATAAACTTTTAAAAGATGTTTTTATCATGTGGCATTGCCAGCTACTTAGATAACAAATGATGAAGACATGTGAAGCAATTCTGTGCCTCTTCCATTGCAACAAAATACCTCTGCATCTATAAGGATTCCCTTGTTGCTCAGTGGGAAATATGATTGTAAGACATTATAAGAAGTACTTCCACTTTATCATAATTTATGTGTTGACTTGTCTTTCCAGAGAAAAAGATGTTGGACATACACTTCAGATTCCTGAAGTTGGAGTCAGTAAGGTAATTCTTGTTTTTGCATGATACAACATGGGTGAATTATGAAGCTTTAGATTTTATGGCTTTAAATTTTATCAAATCTTTTTTCATTGTTATTGTTTCTTTATTTTTTAAGCAGATCTAGAGTGAGATGTGCTTTCATCTACTCTGTGAAGCTAGAGAAACAAGCAGCCTTTTGCTGAAAAGAGACTTGATGCAAACAACTGTGTGACTTCCATGTTACACTTGCTTGAAAATTGAATAGGTTGTATTTAAACTCTAGGAAAGCTAAACATCTTTTTCAAATTGGAGTTTGTCCACAGTAAATAATTGCCCTCTGAATCTTGAATTTGCTGCAGTTCAGATTACATTAACATGCTTTATCTTCTCCTCAAGGCAACAGTATAAAAAGTGATCTTCAGGGAGCTTGAAGATGTAATACAAGTTTTTTTAGTGAAGATCTTAGACAAATGTCTTCTAGCTAGGAGAGGATTAAAATAGGGTGCTCTGTTTTACTGAATATATCAGCACAGACTAGTAATTAGCAAAGGTGTGATCTGAACAAAAAGGGGGGGTGAAATTGCATATATTAGTATGTGAAATACACTTTACTGAGTCTTTGGTAAATGATAGTTCTAAATAATCAGACATGTAGCATATGTATATTAGGAATTTCCTGTGAAAACCTTTTCTGTATGCTAATGAGCTTTTCAGAGATGTATTTTTAAACTAAGCATATGAAGCAGTCAAAGGGTCTTCTTTTTTTTGCAATGTTAGCCTTTTTTGTCTTGTTTCTTGATTTGGATAGCAGCATTTGCCAATACTTTATGGGCACCTGATTTGCTTTTAAATACTTTCATTCAAATTAACTATGTACACTACAAATTATTTCATTTTGCAAATGAAAGGCAGAATGTTAAAAGGACAGACTTGTAGAAATGCAGACTGTTGATACCAATTTCTTCCTGTTAATAATTGATAAATATGGACCATCCTGGCATTTTGTTTAACATAAAGTTAAAATGAGTAATACCCTGCAGGTAAGACAAGTAATTTGGTGTAAAATTCTGTCTCTCCCACTTTTGTAATTAGATTGTTAGTTTTAATGTCAGAAAGGTAATAAAAAGAATGGCAGCTAATGGACACGAACTGTTGTGTTCTGCATGTTTTGATGCACATGCTAATACATCTGCTTTGGTTATGGTGGTCCATGTAATGTGAAGGTGGAGAATAAGATCAGATTAAAAACAAATGCAGATCTCCATATCTTTTGAATGTGTGCCACGAGGACAGGAGGAGGCTAGGATGGTGGTACAGTCTTTTATTCTCTTTTTTTGCAAGGTAAAACACACCTGCTCTACTGGAAGTGTATGCTTTTTCAATACTAATCTCTCTTAAAGTCAGCTTGTAGACAGAGAATCACACAGATTGTTTGAGGTTGGAAGGGACCTTTAGAGGTCATCTAGTCCAACCCCCTTGCTCAAGCAGGGTCATGCCATAGGTATATTATCAATAAAGTATTTCATGTTTTTGCAGCCTATTTATTTACATCTCAAATGGCTGAGGTCATAAAGCATTGCATAATGTGACTATTAGAGTACCAGAACCACTCCCTAAAATACCTTCTGAAATCTTAATGTGTAAACTGTGAAATACGTAATGAGAACATTTCACTTACATTCTTGTATTTATCAGTTCCATGCAGAAGTGTATTTTGACCACGATTTGCAAAATTATGTCCTTGTGGATCAAGGGAGTCAGAATGGAACAGTTGTTAATGGAAATCAGATTCTCCAGGTGAGTGGACTTAGTGTAATATTGCTAAGCATTATAAAAACTTTATAATATTATTGTATATGTTAAAGAAATGTACTCATGATTGTTTCCATTCACAAACAACAGATTTCTCTGATACAGTATTCACTACATCAAGTCCCTCCTGTTTTTAGAACCAAGTGTAGCATTTGGCTTATCTTCTAATTAGGAAAAAGCCATTCCAATCACAGAGTGTAGACTGAAATGCCCGCTTGAAGCTTTTGCCTGGATTCATGAGGCCAAACTGAAACATTACAGTATTAGCAGTATTCCTGCTTTATAGTTTTTTGTCCTTTGTTGCTAATGGATAAACATGACTGTCAAAACTCTCTTGCTGTAGCCCAAAACAAAATGTGATCCCTACGTCTTGGAGCACGGAGATGAAGTGAAGATTGGCGAAACTGTACTTTCTTTTCATATACATCCTGGCAGTGATACTTGTGACGGTTGTGAACCGGGGCAAGTCAGAGCACATCTTCGCCTGGATAAGAAAAAGGAATCATCTGGTTAGTCATGTTATCACTGGATATATTTTCTTTAGTTCTTTGGCATAATAATTATCTCAGATGGCTTTAATCTTGCAATTTTCATGTCCTTTGGGAATAGCTTTTCAACACCTGATGTGTTTTTTCGCATGTATGTCTGTGTAATGTTAGAACAAAATTTCTGTCCATCTTAGTGTTTAAAAGTACTGTCGTTATTCTATTAACTTCAGTCATACATTTTTCCTTTTAGTTTGTCCAGCACTTAGCAAAGAAGAGAGAGAGTTAGTCAGAAGAAAAGCATTAAAACAAATATGGGTGAAGTACGGTTTACAGGTGAGTTTACAGTGAAGGTTGATTACTTGCTTGAAGTCTGCACCCACTCTGTGATTCCTATTTCAAGCCATGGGTTTCAGTGAATTAGCAGATTTTAGAAACACCGAAGCCTGTTGGTTTAATGCATGTTTGCCTCTTGTATGCTAACTAAGCTAGTCATTATTTATAGATAAGAATGCCATCATGAATGTACAGGCAATATGAGGTGCAAGTATGCAAGCTACTTGTGTGTTAGAAATCATTTTGACTACTAGATGCTACTAGTCTTGCATCTAACAGTTGTGACCTTTACAAAGAAAAAACGTTTCTCAAATTCTTTAGCTATTGAAATCACATTGATACAAAATGCATACGTGCATTCTTAGTTACATATTTCAAAGAAATGGGTGCTGAAAGACAAGCTTTATATTAGTCTTGTGGAAATTTCAGTGGCTTGTCAATACAGCTTTGTGCTTAATATGAGACGATCAATTCTTCGTACAAAGAAGTTTCAAGATTGTCTGTATGAAGTTGATAAATTACATTGTTATGTGATGATGTCAATAACAAACTCCTGAATAAGAACTCTGTAGTATTTTGCTACGAGTTTTAGAATTAATAAAATGAGATGTAGCTGCTTCACTTATGGATGAGGAAAGAATCAAGGTATCAAAAAAGAGACTTTAAAGCTAGGCATCATGTCCTGATGGAATTCCTTCTGATCCTAAAGAACACAGAGTATGAAAATAACAAAGCAGTGAAGAATCCAAAGTACAAAGACAGAGCAGGAAAACGCAGAGAGACTGTTGGAAGTGAAGGAACTTTCCAGAGAGATGATACTCCAGCTTCTGTCCATATGTAAGTTTATTAAAAAAAAAAAACCTCAATCCTTCAGTGGTGACTTTTAAAAATGGTGTACAGTAATTGTAGGTCTAATTTGTAAGTTTGTAAAAGGATGTGTGGGGTAATGGACTGTGAGCACTAGGACAATAAGGTGGTGAGGTACTTGCTGCCCTTTCACGAGGGCAGTTGATTTGCACTTGCATTTTATTTTGTAATTCCCAAAATAACCAGATAGTTCAGAAGCATTTGAAGACTTTGGGGGTGGGGTGGGAGAGTCTTGGATCCCAGGTAGCCCAAAGAACCAAATATATGCATGGAAGAACTTGAAACAGGTGGTGTGAGGGTCTTCTAGATAGTTTTTGATACAGATAGGAAGAGTTGGTTGTAGTTGGTTGCTGATTTCTATCACAGTGGATGAATGTATGTTAATTTTTGCTTATCAGTTAACTTCAACTTTCTTTAAAGTGAAATCAGCAACAGCAACAAAGGACATAAAATGTTGGAGAAGATGGGATGGAAGAAAGGAGAAGGCCTGGGCAAGGATGGTGGCGGTATGAAGGATCCGGTGGGTCTATTTTTTTTTGCTTGGAACACAAAGAAACTGAAACGCACTTGCAATGAATAATGTCCAGCTGTAAGCCATAGATGATTCACTTAAAACACTTCAAAGTCATCAGTGGTAAGCAATAACGTCAGTAGAACCAATCTCAAATAATTCTTCAGTCAAATTTTTTGAAAGTTTTCAACAATTACATCCCTCTAGTGGAAAACACCAGTAATGTTCATTGTTTTGAAACCAAGCAAGGGAAGACAGCTTCTAGTCATGTCAATAATCCCATGTTTGAATACAAAAATAATTTCGGTCTTCCTTCAAACTTAAGTGAGGTAAAATCATTTTAAGATGGGCTCAGAGCCACACCTTGCTCTGTGCCCCTTGCAGAGCTAAGGAAAAATTTTATGACAGTGCCCTGGAGTGGGCCGCCCAGGGAGGTTGTGGAGTCTCCTTCTCTGGAGGTCTTCAAAACCTGCCTGGATGCCACCCTCTGCCCCATGTTCTAGGTGACCCTGCTTCTGCAGGGAGGTTGGACTAGATGATCTCTAGAGGTCCCTTTCAACCTTAAGGATTCTATGATTCTGTAATTCTACTTACTGCACTCAATCCGTGAGCTGTACTCCAAAGGTTAGCAGGTAGTAGGTGACATCATTCAATATTTCAGATTGCTATTTTGAAGATTCATCAAATTGTTTTAATAATACTTCAGATATCACTCTGTGATCTGATTTTATTACTGACAGAATGTTACACAGAAGTGTAAGGGGGATTAGTACTATAAAGCATGATTTGAAATATTTAAAACACCTAATTCTGCAGTTACAGCATTTCTTTTTGTGTGTATTTGACAGATTCACCTTCAGTTACATAAAACACATGCGGGTTTGGGTACAAGTAAACCAGCTTCAATCGAAGATGTTCAGATCACCCAGAGCAAGAATAAAAAGAACTGGGATAAAGCAAGAGAAAGGTTTGCTGTAAACTTTCAAGAGGCTAAAACACAAAAAGATACACCTAAGGTCATGCCTTGGGTTAGAGGAACTGCAGACTAAAAGTGACTGTCCCATAGCAGGGTAATTTCTCTGTGTAAATAGTTGGGAGAGAGTTTATTTTTATTCACTTTTTCTCTTGCTAAAGCAGCAGTTTGGTGATATGCAACATACCTTTGTGAAAAACCTCTTCAAGATTAACTCTAGTTATGTTCATGGGTTTTCTGTAGTCTTCACACTTTTGTAAAACTACATTTTTAATAAGAAATGAAAATTTAGAGGGGTATTCAAAAGTAAGTACTTGAGAGTGATTTTATCATGAGCAGGAATTTTCTTCGATTGTGTTTTTAACATAATACTTCATGGAAAGTCAAAACATTTGTTACATTTAAACTTAATACTCTGAACTTTGGAGCAGTGGTTTAAAAGCAATCTCTAGGGTGGTGCTGTGGGGGTGAAAATACTCCCCCAAAGCTGACATGCAGAGCAGTACAAGAGCCTTTGAGAATGGAATTTAGTGTGAAAGTTCAACAAAAACACATCAGTATTAAACATATGCAATTGAGTAATACTCAAGTATTTCAGCCTTCCTTCAGAGGAAACTAATTTGGTTTATATTAACAAATGTTGTATTCCATGAAGTATCCTACCAACATCGGTGAAGAAGAGTCTTCAGAGGACAGCCTGTAGCAAAATTTCTTCTGTGAAGAACCTGCTTGAGCCTTGTTCAGTAAATCTGTATCATACCTTTAAAAGAGGAGGTATGTTTAAAGAACTGCTGTCTGTGTGCATTATTTATTAATTTCTTGTTCTGATGCATCCGTTGCTGGCAATGGAGTTTATGCCAGAAGAAAACCAAAAAAAACCCTACCAGATCTTCATTGGGAAAGGACTACCAAACTGAAAGTAAGAGCTTGGTTTTTGTTGAATGTGCCTAAACAGAATAAATTATTGTCAATTTTAGCAGTGTGCTTCTTGATACTATCTTATGCATATGCTGGATATGAGTGTTCTTGTAAAATAAGAAAACTTAATCCAGTCTTAGTCCAAGTTACAATTCCAGCCCTTGTCAAAGTAAACAGTAGTCTCACCATCCTACTGTATCATGCAGGCAACTGTCAACTTTTTTTTAAGTAAAACTGGGACAGGTTGCTAGGTCTTAATATCAGATAAAGGTACTTTAAGAGAAATATGCTTCAAGCTATGCTATTCAGATCATGAGAGCACACTTTTTTCTTTTAACAACCTGAGGTGCACCTTACTTCAGTGTATGCAGCTGGAGGTGTGGCTGGGAGTGGTGTGAATGCCTGCAATAGTACTGCCTAGTTTCATTAACATCAGTTTCCCATTCGCCTTAGGAAGCAGTTATCTTTTCACTGTTACAGCTGTAGTTATGAACTGCTGTTCACAGCAGCAGTTATCAAATAGAAGAGCAGCTTCTTCTACAAGGAGGGGAAAAAAGTGCAGGCTAAAGAAATGGTTTTACTATTGCTTAAATTCTTAAACTGTTTATTAATATTCAGCAGACCTTTATGATCTTGATACTAAATCAAATCTGACAAAGCCTGTAGGAACTTTAGTTTTTCCTCCCCCCAGTTATTAGATACTTTAAGTCAAGTGCTGGTGTACTAGGTGCCCAACAAAAACTTGAAAGGATCTAATTGAATTTAACACAGTTTTCATTGCGTAAAAATTTCTTGGGGTAAGTCATCACTGCCTTTTTAGAGAAGCCTGGTCTGGAAGAAGCTCATATGGTCAAGCACTAAGAGCTTGTTTTCACTACTGTGATTTCATTTTTCTACAAGCAAGTTCCATGTAAAGGGCTGAAGCTTGGACTCGGTTTAAACTTCACATGACAGATCCCACTGTGTTTGATGCAGCCTGGTAAAGAGGAAAAAGCAGTTCTGTTAATATGCACCAGTATTACCAAAACAAATAGAATATGGTCTGAGTAATCAGTTCTTACAATTATAGCTACATTCCTTTATTGAGTAGAAGCCCTTTTTGTGAGCTTAAATGGGGACTATCCTGGTGACCCCTTAAGTGGTAAGTTTAAATGACCAGTGAGTTATGGTGCAAGTCTTTATGTGCAAATGCAGTATTGTTTTCCCTCAAGACTGGAGGGGAACATGAGCTGCCATTGCACTACTATAATTTTGGAGGCTATAACCAGTAAGGTACAGCATAAGGTATAACTGTCTTACCTTCTCAGTCCTCCAATGTTGTCACTTTTAAATTCACACTACTTAATATTCAGCACTTATTGACAAAAATGTTTGTCTATACAACCACTGTAAAAAGCATTAGTAGTTCACACCAGATATATAAAGTTGTGGTGCAAGTGAATATATATACACATACACACAGACTTAACTGGTGAAAATACTCTTGCAACTGTTTACACTAATTTTCAGTGCTTCTAAAACTGAACTTACTGAACATATTTCTGAAATTTAAAACAAAGAGCAGGCACACTGGTGCCTTCAGTGCTGAATGCCTAAGGCAGTCTGTAAAAGCAAACAGTGCGTTCATGATTCTCTGAAAGCCTCTGGACTAAATGCTCCCTCTTCCACCTAAGGCTCTGAGAGGAGGTAAGTTTAAAAAAAAAAAAAAAAAAAAAAATTCGTTTTCCAAAGCATACCATGGTTGAATCTGGAGTTTCTGTTCCAGCAAGAAGAAAGCCATTGCTGCAAGTGGTTGTGTGAAGCGAAGCTGACACAGGCGTTCAGGCAGCAGGTACCAAACCTCAGCAGCAGGAAGGAAGGTCAGAAATTACATCCTGGTATGAACAAGTTATGTTTAAGATCATATCTGCATACCAACGCTTTTTTTCTGATTTACAAGAATTTTCCAGTTAATTTAGCATATATTTGTAACAAAGAATATAAGTTTGTTTCTCAGAATGAGGGGCAGATGAGCAAACCTGTCATCCCCACCCTCCTCCTGGTTTTTATTAATCTCCTTAGGAGGGGGTGTTACCCTTTCATACAGGGTGGCTGTAGCATCAGCTCCAGAACCTGCAGTGCCCTCACCCCATCTGCATTATATGTTTTTAATATTTATATTTATATTTTTATGTACTTTGTCATATATTTGCACTTTAACTGACACCACCCCTCTCCATAAGCCTACCTGTGTACGTGTTCATGGGGATGGAGCGCTGTTAATCCTGCTCCAGCTCTGCCGTGCTACAGGTGGTCGCTGCTGGGCTCGAGGCGTAGCCGCGTGCTCTCAGCAGGGCAAGCAGGGCACGTCCTCAATGCTGCTTCTCCCCATTGTTTCAGCGGGGAGAAGAATGAGGGAAGCGAAAGCCAGGCCCGGGCGGAGGCTCCGGGCGCGCAGCGGCCGAGGCGCGTGTCCTGAGCGGGAAGTTCAGGACTGCGGGCCCGGGAGGGTGGAGGGCCCCGCTCGGCCCGCGGAGGGGCGGCCGGGGGCCACGAGCCCGGGCCCCGCCGCGCGGGCCGCCTCGGGCTGCACTGCCGCGGCGCGGGCTGGGACCCGGCCCGCCATGAACCGCTCCTGCCCGCCCGCCGGGCGCCGCGGCCATTTTGTCTCGCCTCGCGCCGCCGGGCCGAGGGCGGAGCGCCGCGGCGGGGCTCGGCACCTCCGCCCTTCCCCTCTCCCTCCTCCTGCGCAGCCCGCGGCTTCCCGCCGGGCTGGGGCCGCTCCTGCCGGGAGCGGGAACGGACGCGGAAGAGGCGGCCCGGGCTGGGCAGCCGGAGCGCGCCGGGCTCCCCGCCGCCGGGGACACCGCGGCGTGGGGCTGGCTGCGCCATCGGCAGCCTCCGGGAGCCCTGACCCCCTCGCTCGTCACAGGCCGGGACAGGGAGCCGGGACAAGGAGCCAAGACACTGTCTTGGGGTTGCAGCGGGCGCTGTTCTGCTGCCCGGCGGCTGTGGTGCCCCTGCAGCACAGGGAGGGCGCCCTCAAAGGCTGGATAGACACAAGATGAAAGAATCCAGAACTACTGTTTTGAAAATACATCTAAGTGGCTTTGCAAACAGCTGGGGCTAGAAATACAAGAAAAATGTTAGGGAGGAGCCAGCACAACCAGACCAGAGGATCCATGTTAGGAGTAGCTTTGGCCTATGCAGGACAAGTAGTGTTGAGCAAGGGTTGGCTCCTGACAAGATGTGGTGGGTCTGGTGGGACTGATGTACCTGGCTCTGGGAAGGGTCCTTGCCCATTGCTGTACATGTCTCAGCCTTCCTCTCACTCTCTGTGTTTTTTTTTTTTTTTTTTTTTTTTTTTGAGCACTGAAGGTAAGGGCAGGTAGAGCTTCGACAGGAGGCAAATCAACAAATAACTTTATATCCAAGACCATTTCAGCATTTTTTGCCATGGAGAGAGCTCCATAATATGGTATTTGACACATACTTCCACTGCCATAGGGATTGAAGAGCTCTCTGAACGCATCCGTCTTTTGGGTCCTCATCTCCCAGAGTGAGATAACTTCTGAAATAATTGGATGAGAGATAACCTGAGGTCTCTCCTAAGCAACTACAAAGGGTAACTATGTAAAAAGGTGAGGTGGTAAAGGGTAGAAAAACAGATCAGAGGTTGAGCTGCTGGAGAGCAGCTCTGCAGAGGGACCTGGGAGTCCTGGTTGACACCAAGTTAACCATGAGTCAGCAGTGTGCCCTCGTGGCCAAGAAGGCCAATGGCTTCCTGGCTGCATCAGGAGGAGTGTTGCCAGCAGGTCAAGGGAGGGGATCCTGCCCCTCTCCTCAGCTCTGGTGAGGTCGCACCTGGAATATTGGGTGCAGTTCTGGGCTCCCCAGTACAAGAGGGATGTGGAGCTTCTAGAGAGGGTCCAGCGAAGACCAACTAAGATGATTAAGGGACTGGAACCTCTCTCATATGAGGAGAGACTGAGTGAACTGGGCCTGTTTTCCCTGGAGAAGAGAAGGTTGAGAGGGGATCTTATCAACAGGTACAAATACCTGAAGGGTGAATGTATAGAGGAGAGGGCCAAGCTCTTCTCAGTGGTGGCCAGTGATAGGACAAGTGGCAATGGGTGTAAGTTGAAACACAGGTAGTTCCATCTGCATGTGAGGAAGAACTTCCTTCCTGTGAGGGTGACAGAGACCTGGACCAGGCTGCCCAGGGAGGCTGTGGAGTCTCCTCTGGAGATCTTCAAAACCCGCCTGGATGCTGCCCCGTGCTCTGGGTGTCCCTACTGGAGCAGGAGGTTGGACTAGATGATCTCTAGAGGTCCCTTCTAACCTCACCCATTCTGTGATTTGTGAAGAGTTGTCTGGCAGCTGGATACTACAGGTACGGAGGCTATAGATGTATCAATAGAGTCAGAAAAAAAAGAAAAAAAAAATTAAATTGATAAGGAAACTAAAAAAAGAGTGTGAGTGAGAATAACCAATTCGATACTAAGAGAAGGAAGTAATATGTTATCTAGCCTACACCTTGCTAGAGGAACTGACTGCTGCCAGTTCATGTGAAGAGTTTGAACTGTAGGTGTTAAATGACAGTTTTGCAAGGTGTATGAGTTACTCTTTAGTATAAATGTCACATATGTAAATCTGCCCTGTAGAGATGTTGTCCCTGGGCTTCGCTCTGAAATCCACACTGTACTTTTTCAAACACTGGTTTAGTTTGAATTTTGCCACAGTAAGCGTTGAGTGAAAAGCTATGTGGTTTTCAGCTTGTTATTTTTTCAGCAGCCATTGCTTGTTAATCCTGTAAAACTATGGTTAACCTTTTTCTTCTAAGACTTGGAGTTACTCAGGGGAAAGCGGAACAGTTGCAAAAAAATATTTCAACAATTCGTGATCCGTCTCCTGCTTCTGAACCATCCTATGACCTGTACTCAGAAAAATGCTTACTTTATTTAGACATTGCTAACACCTGGCTGTGGTAATATTCAAATTCCCAGTATTCCCCATTAAAATTAATGAATTGTTGAAGCCTAGATAAATCATGTTAGTCATTACAAATAAAGATTAAAAAGGCTTACCTATGTGTAAGGCTGATTTAAAAAATGCTGCTGTGAGTGCATTGCTAGGAGACCTTTTAAGATTTTTGGTACACTTGAAGAGGCCTCTTGTAACACCTGGCAGTATGATTAATAGCTGCCATGATTGATTTAGATAAAGAATGTGTTTTCTTGGGGAGTTTCAATTAATAAGTCATGTCATTTTCTTCACCTTAGTTGTGCTTTGTTTTTTTGTTTTTCTTTTTCCTGTTGTTTTGCTTTGAAAAGAAAAAGGTTTTCCGCGGATGTGGGAAATACGGGCAGTGTGGCTGGGTGTGAAAGCTGAGAAAAGTAGCCTTCTAGGTGTGTGGGAGTAAATAAATGATCGAGTGGGTGTTGGTGCACAATCTGTACACATATAAACTTGCTTTGACTCTCCAGACTGAAGGAGAAGTTAAAATATTTATGCTTGGCATCAGAAGAAGAGCACAACCTCAAACTGAGGTGTATCCCTCTTTCTCAGCACCATCCTGCTGCCAAATTGTGCATGGGCACCACTGCAGTTAGCTAAGGAAAGTCAATCTAGTATCATTCCTTTAGTGTCATAATGTGTTTATTCACCTAAATGAAGCACTTGCCCCCTGCAAGTCCAAATTTAATCCAAATTTAGCATTTTGGATGACGGCTGCACTAATGCTCATAATCATAGTGCCAGCCAAATCGCAGCAATGTTACAGGTGTCAGGATGCCTGCTTATTTTCCAAGCACTGCACATTTCAGACTGAACATTTCTCATTTGAATTAATATATGTTTCATATTCTTTTAAATATAGGCTAAAATAGTCCAGAGCCTGAAAATTGGTATCTCTGACAGCTGCACTGGCAGATTTTTGACTGGCTTCAGCTAGAGTCATTTAATCATTTGACAATTAGCAACCATTTTGCAAAGCATATTTTGGAATCTGCAAGGGTTATTTAGAGTAAAAATAATTTTCTGACGAGTGAAGATGTCAGTCTTCATTTTAGGCTTTCACACTGGTATTTTGCATCAGCTACTTAGTGCTTTTTCAGTCACCGTTGGTAAGAATTGGGCATCATTTCATTGCTGCTTGCATCAATTTTTTTTTTATGATTACAGCTGTACTGTGTTCAATTCAGTTACTCAGAATGAACAGAAATAGAGCCCCAACCCTAGATCCTCAAAATGGGAAATAGGTGCCAAAATATATCTGAGCTCCCTGATATTAATATCACACACAATCAATACGAAAAGTATGTTGTTAACATGGCACTCGGGCCATCAAATATTGAATAAATACAAGAATTGCAGTTGCTTGTCCATTTATCAGAATTTCTATCTGCTGAATGCTTTACTGCATGTTGCTGACAATGTTTTTTCAGATGCAGTTTTCTTGCCCTGTGGTTCACGGTATATTCTTGTGTTCTCCTTATTTCTAGAGGCTCTCTGATGCCTCTGCTGCACAGGAAGGAATGTATTTATTTAGCAAGCAACCAAATCAGAGTTTTCCTTTCCCTTTTCACCTCTCACAACTCTTCTTCACACATTTTAGTCTGCACCAAAAATCCCACATTTGGAGTTTCCCCTCTTCTTTATCATTAGGGATCCCTTGTCTGTGTTGTATTATGTGTTCTACACCAGTACGGTGATGAAGAGTACATGAAATATGTCCAAAGAAGTAATTGGTGCTGAGAGTTGAATCAATTTAATTTTGTATTTTTAAATTTAAGCGTAAGTCCAACTACTGTTCTCAGCTGCTCTTTCTCATTCATGCCAGCCATTACACCTTAGTGTTTTACGTCCAAAGGCTAACTTTAAAGGCTGTGATCAGTATAAGGCTAATATCATATGGAGCTGCTGTCTTAAGAAGAAAAAAAACAAAAAGCCACAAACATCTGGAAAAAGTCCCAAACTTCTAAATCTTTTCTGTTGTCTTTTTCTCTAGCACGCCATTATCTGCTTCCCCACCACTCACCTCGTACTGAGCCAGAGGTTAGAGATGCTCTGGAGGATCCTGAGAAGAATGTTCCTCTGGAGGACTGGAAAACATGGCCAGGAAGTGAAGTTTATTCCAAAATGAGAGAAGAGTGTGGAGGCATGGACACAAGCTTTGGAGGTAGGATGTTGTAGGAGGTTTCTGACAGCAGTTGGACATCTGTCCCTGGGGAATTGGCTTTGCCAGATCCTGCCTCTTGAGCAGGAGGTTGGAACTGCAGCTTCTTCCAAGCCCTGTCCTCCCTGCTATTTCTTGCTGTAGGGAACTTGCACAGGAGCAACCTAGCCATGGTGTTGGATTATTGGGGCATTAGCTGAGTGATCAGATACGAGTTAAGCTATCTCATCCCTCAAAACACTCTCTACTTTTAGTTGTAAATTTAAAGATACTCATGGATGAGTTACGTTTGTTTGTTTTTGCTCTGCTATTCATTTTGTTTTTGGTACCTCGCTCAAGCTCCACGTTTACAAAAGCTACAGAAACGTGTTTATCTTCCTAAAGACTTCTTTGTAACTAAATGAATTCATACAAATTTACTGACTCTCATACTGTGCAACTTTTGCATCCTGATGGAGACTGCCAACCTGTTTTGCATTTCATTTCAGTGCATTCTGTGAAACTGACTAGAACTTACTGGGAAATTGATTTTTTTTCTAAATGATTTTTTTCTAATTTGTCTCCCTTGATCATGTTTTCCAATTTTTCACTGATTTCACATCTCTCCATGTTCTTGGTCTCGCTTTTTCCTGCTGAGTAGTGCTGACTGCTGTGCAGAATATACTTTTCCAGCAGAAACAGCTAGAATAGTAAACATTTCAGTCTTTCCTCTGCATTAAAAAAAAAAAATCTCGGTATTAATCAAGGAGAAACGTGTCTCTAGCAGTTTCTCTTCAATCCAAGTCTGACATGGAGGTTGATAACCTGCAGGACTGATTTTAAGTGCTGCATCTGTAACTGAGAAAGAAAGGCCTACTAAGTGAGCATCTCTCCATGAAATGTTAACCCTTCTGTAAAAATTGGTTTGCACATCTAAAACCCTTAAAAAAAGATCTCAGATGATATAAATGAGCATAGCCCCAGGTAGTAAGTTTTATAGCTGCCATTATCGTATACATTGGCACTTTTATTTCTGACTGTGCTGAGCTATATATATCTGTGATGCAAACATCTGTATTGGCACCTGTGGATGTAGCCAAACAACCCCCAGCAGAAAAAAAGCTCTGGAGCAAGATTTTCCTTTAAATACTTTTCTTTCTGCAGCCTCACTTTTAACATTACTGAGTTTTGATGATTAACAGTGCTAAGGAAAACAAATTGAACAAATTCATCTTGTGTTATTAGCTGCCAGGATTCCTATTGCAGAGGTCTTGCAGGAGTCTATTGTTCCTTCTGACAGTTTGCACAAACTTGGGAAGAGGAAGAAGTGAACTACAAGATGTGTATTTGAACCTTACGGTAACCTGAATACCTTTGTGCAGCATCTGGGAGCAGGTGCTGTCTGCATATGTTTGAAGTGGGTTAGTTAAGAGCACTGAAAGCCTGTATGCAGACCTCATTTTGGACAATAGTGCTTATTTCAACATAAACTTGAGCTTATCTGGCTTAAACACAAAAATAAGCTGAGTTTAAAGAAAGACTGATTTTCACGGGCTTTTGCACTAAAACAGGTAGACCAGGATGTTAAAAAATGATCCCATAACTCTGCATGCAGGCAAGCCTTTAAGCATGAATTTGCTTGTGTGATGTACAGACCAGAGAGCACAAAGGGCACCTTTGTTCTCTGCCAGGCTCTGGTCAATGCGTCTGTTTCTTTCTTCACTTGTTATTTTCTGCTGGAGCCATGAGGCTATCTCAGTAGTACTGTGCTTTTGTGACTGCAATAATAATTTTCTAGAAAATGTCACATGTGGTGAAAATACCCATCCCAATCCTGTTAACAGCATGGTGACAGACAGGCAGATCCATGCTTGGACAGGCAGATCCCTGCTTCAACAGGGTTGGAAGCAGGCCCTGGAGGGGCAGTTTTCCTTATATGGGACTAACTCCGGTCTCAAACCTATCTGCCTGTGTGACCTGTCACCAAAACTCCAAAATGCTCAGAGGAAAGATTGTCACTTGGAGCTCAGTGCCCCTCTTTTCTGCCCAGCTCATCGGCATGCATCTCTTTCCTTATTAGTGTTCATCAATATGGGAACAGCTGGTAACGGTTCTGTTTTCCTTCTCTTCAAAAAGAGGGCTTCACAGCCGTGAGGAATATTACTACTGGGTAAAGACAATTTTTAATACTGACTCCAGCTCCATTAATTTTTTTGCTGTAATCATGGCAAGGGTGAACAGGTGGGCAGTGGGATGGATTCTCATGTGGCTTTAAAGAGTATAACTGGAGAAAAGCACTTCTGAAGGTAGCTGGGTTAGGCCAATACAAACCCAGGGTAAGTGTGAATCAGAATCTGCCTGTCGTTACATTTTCACTTGGCTGCCTTAAAAATATGCGCAGTTTCCCTTCCAAATCCATTTTAACAGCAATTAACTGTAATGAAGATTTGTTTTTGTGCTTGCATTTCTCAGATACGTGCTTGACCAAAGACTTGAAATGACCCCTTTAGCTGCGTATCTTATGAGCACGATAGAAACTTTTCCTCTTGATTGTTGTTCAGTGAGGAGAAGACAAGCAATAATAGCAATTGATAATTCAGATAATTGGAAACTGGGATGACATGTTTGCTATGGTCTTCACTTAGATTTTTTTTCTTCAGTAAATGTAATAGCATTTTCTCAGTAAGATGCAATAGGCTTTTTTATTGGATCATGGCACTATTGAGGACTCTGTGCAGTAGCACAGCCTAGAAATAATTCATAACTGCAGCACCGTGAACTTACTACACTACATTTCTTGTATGCCAGATCCCACTGATAATAATTAGAACACTGTAAGTCAAATAAATTGCAGGAAAGACCAAACATGAAGTTTATGCAGCACAGATATAAAATACATTTTAAAAAAATCCTGAAAATAGTGAACTTTAAAGCTGTGATTACTGCATGACTAGACTAGTCTCTTTTACTTTTGCAAGGGAAATAAAAATGTGAAATAGTGAGGAGCCTCCTCCTCAAACTGACTGACTTTATCAGGATGTATCAGCACATAAGGAACAGTTTAAATCAAGAGGATTAGAACTCAATTGAATTAACTTCCACATGCTTTATATCTTTCCTCTTTGTTCTTATGCTAATTTGTTACCATTAATTTGACTCTAATCCCCTTTTCGTGAATAACCTTATTCTAAAATAAATTGATAGAATACTCCCAAATGAATAGAAGTCTTTAACCAATAGGATGACCGGAAAATTAAGGAGATATTGGGAATACAATGCTAGATGATAAATGACAAAATATTTTTGTGGTGTGTAAAGTTATTTCACTGTCTTTGCAGTGGAAAATCATGCACAGTGACTGTCCAAAGAAAATCAACCACATACTGTATCTTCTGCTTATTTTTTTCCCCTGTGATTTTTTCCTTGTTCTCACCTGTGGATGTTTATCCTTAAATGCATACCACTAGAGGGTGCTCAAATAGCAGTGTTCCTGGGAATTTATAAATGGTTGTTTCTGACTGGATTAGGTATTTGGCTTTTATGCAGCTAGCTGTGAACCTAGTTCTCCTCAGTTACTCTGTTTTGCTTGTTTGCTTCTTTGCTTTCCTTCTGTCTTTTTATTTAAAGTTTATGTAAGCTTGAGAACCTCCCGTTGAACTGAGTTGCTGCTTCGTCATCTTGGTGCTTTTTGAATGGCCTTCATCAGCACAGCAAGAATAACCTTGCTGTGTCTCTCCTCATGTCACAGCCAAATATGACTTTCCTCTCCACAAAAATGAAGCTAGAATTAAGTAACAACTTCCATGTAATGAGAACAGATGTGGTAGAACTGTGGAACCCAGCATAATTTCAGGGTAAGCAGACCTGAGTATTTGGCTTCTCTTCCATCTCCTCCAAAAACTAAGTGTATTTGTATTTTTTGACCTTAACCATTGTCCATTTCCTGTGCAGAGAGACATTCCAAATTATAAAATCCCATATTAAAAATTCTAAGCAAATACACAACACCGTATTAAAGAACCTCCACAGGTGAGAGTGTTTGTGATGACTCTGAAAAACCTTGCATGTATGCTGTTCATAAAACCTTCAAGGACAAGGAGACAAAATTCTCTGTAGTCAGGGAAGCTGGAATAAAAGAGCAAGTGATCAACGTTGTAGCTGAACTAGTCTTCATCAATAATCAGTAATCTGTGTAATAACACGTAGTTACATAGTGCCCAACAATACTCAAATGACATTATATTTTTCCGGTTTTGTTCCAGCCTACAAGGTAGGTCATGGCGAAGAACAAGTACTGTGAGATTATAGCTGGGGGAAAAAAAAACCCTTTAGGGGATTTCTGGAATAAATGGATTGGAAAGAAAGAGAATATTTTATGGACAAGCATAACTGCAGGCAAGTGAATTCAAAGACAGGTGGGAAAATGAGGTAAAGCATCTGTAATGAAAGAGGGAAAGAAACATGTCCATCCACCCTATGGGTGCAGAACTGAGTGCTTTTTACTGTATACCACCCTGCAGGTATGTAAATTGAATTGCTCTACATAGAAAGCAGACCAGACCCTGTCTAGGTTAGACAGTACAGTTTTGAATGAAAAAGATTTCTTTACTTTGTCTGTCTTGTTAACTGCTCAGAAATTTTTGTGTTCATGCTGCTATATTCCATTATTACAAACAGTTGAAAAAATCAGAACATAGTTCCAAATGCCGAGATGAGCAGTGTCTTCTCAGAGCTATAATGCTGGCTAGATTTCAAATATAACTTTTAAATATTTGTATTCTAGCAAATGCAGAAGTAGTCATTTATAAGCATAATATTAGCACTATTTTGCTCAGGTATGTTATCTTTTGCTCTATAACTCCAGTGAGGTTTGCAAATATGAATGACTTGTGTGATGATTTTATTGGCGGTATTTGTCTCAGAATGAACCCTGTGCCTGTCCACCCGTACATGGATGATGCACAGGTACACAATCTATGATGTAAGCATTATGTAAATATACATTTTTTTTTTTTGGAACAGAGGATTACTCACAACATAGTCCTGTTGTGGTCTGTTTTAAAATAGTGGAGTTGTGTGTGTTTGAAGTGTTACACAAAAGTTTACATAGACAAAATGATTCATGTTCCTTCCTTCTTTTGTGCCATTGCCAAGTAACAGGGTTCTGCCAAGTGCTGAAGCTCCTGAAAACTGCACTCATATCTTCAGTTAGCGAGCATGGGTAGAATGCCAGAATGGGTAGAAAAGGAATTTCCCTGTGATAGCTAAGATGTATGCTATTAATACTGTGTTATAGCAAGAAGTGTTTTAGTGCCTATTTAATGACAGATCCCCATAGTTGGGGAATATTGTTTGAGCAAGATAAGAATTTTATTTCATACTGCTTTCAGTGTGAGCTTCCTGTGCAATGGGGAAATACATTTCAAAAAAAAAAAATCCTTATTTTTTGAAGACACAGCAGTACAAATAAGGAACTACTGGGTTTCTTTAAACTGCTTTCTAGTTAAGAGAATGCATCCTGCATCTGGTTTGTTAGTAGCACATGCCATAACCAGGAGATGATCAAATGATCCACAAAAACCTCCTCATGTTTCCTCCTCATGAAAGAACAAGATACTTGAGAGAAAAAAATGAAATCATGGTCTTTGGCAGCTGTGTGGACATGTTGTCTCATCAATTATTTTATATACGTCATAATTTCTATGTTCTATAGTCTAGCTACAAATGTCTTAGCCCTGCCTAATTTTTACTATGTTGATGTACTAAGTTGAGTCTTTATCTTTAATTCTTGGTGTGGTATAAAGTTCTCCTCGTATTTTGGGTAAGTCTATATCTGTTGAGGTAAGTCCTCATGAGGATTTACTTTGTGTAATGTCCGTGGCTTTCTGAGTTGTAGTTTACAGATTTTTCTATGCTAAAATATTTTTACAGTTCATTACTTTTCATTTACTCCATAAGAACACAAAGGAGTCTAATCAGCTTTTCAGTTCAGGATGCATTTAACAATAAATTGATTGTCTACCAAAGAAAGGAGCCAATACAAGGCAAGACAAAAAAACTACTGTATATGTCAGCTGATGCAATTTATAGCTGACTTTAAATATTACGGTGTTGACTGCGCACAAAGATTACACTGTAAAAGATTAACTAGGTCAAATTAAAAGCAAATCAAATGACTGACACACTCTGAAGTCTATAGATAACAGCAGGATTAATGCAGGATCCTGTAGCGCTTTGCTCACACTAGCAGCCCCAGAAAAGTCAAAGGCTGTCAGGACTGTCTGAAGCCTACTGGAAATTCTCTGAATGGCAACCTCACACTCACAGGTGAACAGCGGCCTCAGTACCAGCCCCTTGTCTCTGCAGGCCAGGCTAAAGAAGCAGAACTGTGAGTAACTCAACTTTCCTATGCTTACTTTCCTGCCAGAAAGTCAATGGAGATAGGGTAGTGTAGGACAGAAGAAGCGTTTAATTTCTCCTGAAGGTTTCTGAGACAGCATCAAACAAGGGAGAAGCTTGAAAATACAGTGTATATCCAAGAACAGGGCACCTAAAATGCAGCATAAAGCCCATTGCTTTAGCACCATTATATAAAACAGCGATGACTTCCTCAGGAGTTCAGGAGCAAATAAATCTCTTATTACTGTTGTTATTATTTTTGAATGACAATTCCTTCTCTGAAGAATGGTCTTTTCATAGCTACTGACAAAAGCAATGCTTTTTTGAGTACACATCACATGACATTTCTCTGTTGAGCACTGTCCTATTCCTGCAGCTGTGCGCTACTGCTGTTAAATATTGTTAGATGTTTGTCTCAGCTTAATGTCAACCTTAAACATTTATTTTTCTGTTTGTCTTTGTCATGACCTGAAAACCTCAGGAGGGATTAAACCTAAGTTAGTGCAATGTATGAGGACTAAGTGAAAAAAAAATAGCAAAAACGGAACAATATTCTCCTCTGCTCCTATTTGGCTTGCCGTCTGGTAAATCATTGCCTTTTCAGGATCAGTATCTGACCAATATATAGATTATGTACATAAATAAAAATTGTTCATTTTAAACAAAGCTAACTTTGGATAGTTTCTAATCTAATGAGATCCATTTTCAAAGCTGACCAAACATAAATCAATAACAGCATTTTTGTTTAGGTGGCACAGAAATCCAATTCCTGATTATAGTCAAATCAAAGAAGGAAACTTTAATGGCAGAGAGTGAGTGAGGGTATGTCCATTTTGATTATTTGTGGGACTGGCTCTGACTGCAAGACCAGGAGTGTTTGCCATATGCTTTACTAACACAAAGCAGGTGATCAAGTACAAACTTAATCTGAGCTCTGGAGTCTGCTTCAGTGCAAATCTAAGAGCTTAGCCCAGGATTAGACTCTTGTCCTTGCAGTCTGGGCAAGCTCACTTCAGCCTGTCCACAACAGCTCGAGTTTATGTCCTCCTAAGCTCAGTGTAGATGCTATGAGTTGGAGGTAGACCCAGGCTGCAGTCAATAAGGAGGTAGGAACAGTATGTAGCACTTAAGTCTGGTTGTCTCCTGTTGGAATTTGGCATTCACTTCTGTAGACTGGGGAATTTGCCCATAAAAGTGGTATCTTGGAAGTTATCTATATGACATAGTCTTGGATAGCTTAAATCGTCCCAGAATCAGTGGGCATTTTGCTTGCATAAAAAGCATGAGCTCTGTTGCTTTTTTTCACAGTACAGTTCAGGTACAGACGATGCACTCGTCATTATCATCCCTGCCCACTCAAGGAAATAGGAAAATACTGACTTGTAACAGCTCGGGAATGAGGTCTTCACAAATGGACTTCTGGAAGACAGGGATTTTAACAGCAGATTCATGCAGATCAAAAATGTGAAGGTGACCTTCAGAACATTTCAACACAGCTGGCTGTATGGAAGAAAGCATAAAGGTGATGCAAGAAAGGAGTAAGAGCCTCCTAGAAAGACAAAAACATTGAAAATTGCCTCCTTGCTAGTGACAGAAGGAATTAAGCTGAAAACGCAAGTCGAAGGAGAGTAAGGCACCATGCTTGCCTGCTAGAATATAAAGCTACTATTCTGGGTGCCAGCTTGTACGTAAATGTTCTTAAAACAGGGGAGAAGCACATTAAGATTGATAAAGTAGATTTATAAAAAAGAGACTGAAAGGGGCATAAAGTTCAAACAAGGGCCTAATTCTCACAGACTCTCCCATTAGGTTCAATGGGATTAGGATACTGAGCCTCAAGTAGGGTCCTTAGTGCACGATAAAGTCTACATGCATGCAAAATGTAATACGGAACCAGAGAAAATACTTCTTATTTTACTTCTACAACTGAAAGAAAGTAGGCAGAATAATCTCTTGCATTTGGGGCATTCTCCCAGAAAAAAAAAAAATTACTTTTTTTTCTTCTTAATCATTGAAGTTGCTGCCAGGAATCCAGTCCCAAATCAGAAAGCACCAAGAAATGAGTGGGCCCAGGCCCATGCTCTTTGTTGGGGCAGACCTGTGGCCGCAGCAGGGCTGCAGGATGGCGTCCCCGCTTCAGAGCGTGCCAAGTGCTGTTTGCCTGCCACATACTGAGCATGGCTGCGAGTGACGTGATTCCCGTGTCAGCTTCCCGATGCTCGGAAGGAGCTGACACTGCAGCTCGTCTCAGCATTCCTCTGGCAAGTCCTCCAAAGCCCTGTCAGCTTGAGCGGGAAGATGCAAGGAGAACGGGAGGGAAAGGCCTGTGTGGAAACTGTGCCTAAAATTCGGAGTGCGGCTGAGCCCTCATGTCCAGAAGAGCACTGTGGCAATATCCTGATTCCACGTCTGGGTGAGATCTGGGCACATCCCAGCCATTCCCTCCTTCCCCCCTTCCCATATCTTAGCTGGGAAGGCAACCTGGATGCACAGAACAGCAGGAGTAAAAAGCTGCCTTTGATTGTTAGCCCCTTCTCTATGTGACTAGGGAAATAGGGATCTGAGGGCAGCGGGAGATGTCTGCTGATCCACCCCGATGCTGCTAATTAATAATCTTATGACTTAACTGGGCAAAGCTGGTTCTGAGGTTTTAAAGGTGGGGTGACACCTTGCATTTGTGCAGATGCCCTGAACGAGAAAGGACATTCCTCCTCCTAATTGATGCCCGTGGTTAAGTCCCAGGTGTCCGAGACCTTGGCTGTGCACTCCTGAAATTAGTCTTGCTCACGGATCTAGGATCAAGACTTTTGAGGAAGTGCAAAGCTCATAGCTCTCAGACATCAGCTCTGCAGATGTATGGCCTAAAAAGAAAGAGGAATGCACTGACCCCCTATCCAGGGTGCTTCAGGATGTGCACTGCCTAGGGCTTCTGGGGAGCTCGAGAAAGATGGTGTTTGCTGACCATGGTTTTCCTGCCCTGAAAGTAGGGCAGCTCATTGCAGTCCCTAGCCTCAATGTGACAGAACCTGCTGACCCGCAGCGTTTGCGTGTCCTCTGCAGAGCCGACTCCAGGCTCAGGGCTTTGGCTTTGTTCTGTATTGTGGTCTCTGATTTGTTTTTGTTTGCTTGGGTTTTTTTTTGTTGTTGTTGTTGGGTTTTTTTTTTTTTTTTTGGTCAGGGATTGTTTTTGGTTTTGTTTACTGAGTGTCTTAATCGGTTCCTTTGGTGAAACCTTGGGTATCGCTACAGAGCAATAATAGTATTAAGAATATTGAGGAACTCCCAAGAAAAAGCGATGCTCTGATAGCAGTGTTGCTAAGCTGTTCTTCTGTTCTTTCAGCAGGAAAGAGCAATGGGGTGAGGGAGTCAGCTCCAGTCAAGCCCCGAGATGTCATTCCCAAGGCAACACATTCCTCCCTGGTACCTCTTGCAAACCAAAGTGTCTCAAAGATGAAAGTACATTCTGTGAACCCTAGAAACTTTGACTTTCCCTAGCTCAGGGTCATGCTGCCCTGCTCCACGCCAGGCAGTTCAAGCCCTCTCTCCGAGTACAGAGATGGATTTGGGAACCCTGGAAAGCACAAGCCCAAGCTGCTCACATGGCGGGTGGATCTGCCGTGCTCTCTAGGAGGCATCAAAGGTTTGCCGCTTTCCAGGCGCTGCGTGGCCATCCACGATTGTGAAGCGAGGTAGGCTCTGAGTTCCTTGTTCACCTTTCCTTCTCCGAGAGTTCCTGCCCATTCCGAACCGTCAGGGTAGAGATCGAGCCGAGGGGCGCGGGAAGGGCCGAGGCCTGGCAGTCCAGTCGGCCCCTTGGTGCCAGAGGGGATCCCGGCGCCCACGGGGAGGCCCCTTTCCCGGGGCACCTTGTGGGGCGCGGCGGGAGGCGGCGGCGCCGGGGCCGGCCCCGGGGGAGGCGGCGGCGGCGGCGCCGGGTCCCGCCCCGCTCACCTGGGCAGCGCGGCCGGCCGCGCGGCTCCCGCCGCCGCTCCCGCTCCGCGGACCATGAACGGCCCGGGGCTGCGCAACGGGCCCGGCACCAAGGTGAGGGGCGCCGCGGCGCGGAGCGCCGGCTCCCCGCGGGCAGCCGGGCTCGGGGGGGATTTCGCACCTTCCTGCGCGAGGTGCGCGGCGGCACTTGGCCCTTCGCCAGGGAAGGACCCACTTCCTCGGGGCTCGCTGCCCCGAGCGCCCGCGGCGGAGCGGGAAGCGCTGCCGCGTCCCGGAGCGCCGAGACCGGAGCCCGCCCGGCCGCGTGGCCCCGAGGGGAGCGCGCCCGCGAGCGAGCCGTGCTGCGAGGCACCGGCGCAGGAGAGCCGCCTTATTGACGCTGCCCGCGCACCCCGCGTTTCCTCCTAGAGCAAACGGCCGCCGAGGGGCTGCTGGGGGGCTTCACAGCGCTGTTAGCAGAGCTGTGGGTTGCTTTATTTATTTAAGTGCAGTGAAGTACTTGATTCAGCCCTATTCTATGGCAAACCAAAGGGCTCTTTTATCTGTGACGTGCTTGCAGTTGTCATAGAAAATCTGCTTTATAGTTAAAAGCCTCCAGCTAGTATCTTGCCAAGCACTGGTCTCCGGGAGGTGGATAGCGCCATCGAAGAGCACGACGCCACGGCTGGTGACAGAAACGTCCTGTGTTTCTGGGCCTTCTCAAGCCCTGTGCTGACGGCCTGACTGCAGCCAACACGGGGACAGTACCAAGCTGGCCCATGCTAGGGAACAGGCATCTGTCCCCAAAGGGAACCCACATCCCTGTGTTCCCTTGGGCAGCTTGTGGTTTGGGCTCCCCTCCCTGCCAGCTGCGACGAGGCAGCGCCCAGGGCAGCACCTTCTCCTGCCACTGGGGAGAGAGCAGCAGCAGCCACCAGCAGTGCAGGGATGGCAGCTCTTCCCTGCCCTCGTGAGAGGGGTGGAAAAGGTGAAGGGGAGCAGACGTCCCCCCGTCCCTCTGGGCGCACACAGCACAACCCGCGTCCCCGTGCGCTGTTTGCAGCGGTGCAGCAGCAGCGGGCAGGGGACGGGCTGAGCTCCCCGTTCAACTCCGCTGCCCCCGTGATCTCCCCAAGGGCTTCCCTGCAAATCGCTTTCCAATGACATGAGTGAAATAAGGTAAAAAGGAAGATGACAGAACTTCTGACAGGTTTTATAATATAAAGAATTATATAATTATATAATTATATAATTATATAATATAAAGAATATAAAGAATTATCAAACAATTCCATCAAATCCATTCAATCACAGCAATGCTTCCATCTTTACTCCCTGCAAGTATCTTAATGCAGGATTGGGAGATTTTGCACGTAGCACTCACAGGGTTAAGTACACATACAGATTATAGTAGATCCATAGTAAATTAAAATATAGTTTTCTTGCAGCAAATATATTTTTTTCAAAGTTATGAAGTTAATGTAGTTTTGGACAGGGCAAAAAATTACAGGACTTGATTTTGCGTTCTGATTACATTGGAAGAAGTTCAGTGCTTTCAGTGGACTTGTAATCAGAACATTACAAGGACTGGAAAACACATTCTGTTCTTGCTCAGGTAAAATAACCTTCACCTTTTATATTCAACATCTGTTTTCTAAGCAACACAGTTTGTTTTGCTGAGGAATAAAAGCCCAAGGTTAATGTCTAAAATTTATTGTTGTTAGATCCTTTTTTTTTTTTTTTTTTTTNTTTTTTTTTTTTTTAAGGAGATTTATGTAGAAGGCATAGAAAGCTACAATGATTATTGTTTTCCTCAAATCTGTCTTGAGTTAAGACAGGAAACTATCTGGATAATTTAAATTACTTTTAAGTATTTACTTTGCTGTAATCTGGGTATGCAGCATGTTAATTTTCACTGTTTTAGAAATCTGGACTGATATGAAAGGATTGAGAAACTGTTGAACCTTCTACGAGCCTGGACTCTATTCCTAGTAACTTTTTGTTCTATATAAGCTTATTTATACATTTATAAACTGGTTTTATGGTAAATGAACCATGAATAGAGGTACCTGTCCTCAGAGGCTGGTTGTGAAGTAGCGGATTTTTACATCTCTGTAAAATGCTACTTCTGAAGTAGTATGTTCTTACTGCTATGAACTGGGATTTACAGATGTTACTTCCAATAATGCCAACATAGATTTACCAATCTACTTGTAGCATAAAGTCTTAATATTGAGGTCTGTGTGAAGGCTGGCTTTGGAAGGGATATGCCGTTTGGAGGAATATATTTTCCTCATTGAGGAGGGATTTATAGGTTTAAATCCCATAGAGAGTCCCTTGCTTTTCACTGGAAAATAGATTTGATGCTTCAGGGTTCCAATGGCTTTTTCCAGAATTGTTACTTAAATCTATCATGCTAAAATTCATCATCTAAAATAAATTGGTTTCCTGTGGGAGTAAAACTTGTCAGGATGTCTTAGTATAACTAAGGGCAGCAAAGGCCCTTTTTTAGTGGAAATACTGTAGCGTGTTAGTGTCTGCCAGTGGTTGCATGCACTAGAGTTATACAAAATGCAGGCTTCTGAGTACAGTCTGTTTTAGTGCACTGGTTGTAACTCCCTTAAGTCCCTGGTGCTAACATATTGCTCATGCTGAAGTCAGGGCAAGCTGCAGCCAGAGATAACAGCAAGAGCAGCATTTCATGGAAAACTGTGTGCCATGACTGCTGGAGCAAGTGAGTTAGTGTGAATGTTTGTGTGTGAAATACACTGGGATGTTGAGGAAACCTAGGCATTGACTGACTGATCAAATAACTTCTCACTTAGGTTGATTTAGAAAAATGGACTGTGAATAACTAACCACAGTGTTTAGGGTTCAGTCTGACACTTTTACCAAGCTGGATCTTCAAAGTCAAAATACATTCTTTATTAAAAAACCTAAATACTCCTGATGCTGGGAGCAGGTAAATTCCTGTGAAGTAGGTCTCAAACCAGTTGCTCAACAGCTCTTATAGGTCTTTCTGGGCAATTTCATTTACAGCTACTGTATGAGCTGTAAATGAGTATGAGGATCATGGGTCCTGCATCTGTTGCACATTACAGGTGTGGCCTAGGAACTTGATTACCCAACTTTGGCTTCCCAGTCATTAACAGAAAGAATGTATTTTTTAATGTAATGAGACTAAAATGAAGAGAGTCTTTAAAATATTATAAGAAATAAGTAGTTTTGTTGCTTTATTGATTGTTGAAAGCAATTATAGGACATGTTCATCTGCAACTAAACGCATTAGTGTTTTTCTGTCAGCAACAAAGGCTTGACAGTTGAGTGACAAGTTATAGTCTACTTCATTTTGCTTCTCCTGAACCTGTCTTCAGTCTGGTCCTCAAAGTGAGCTCAAAGAGCAGCATGGCACCGTATAAACATCCAGCATGTGCGCTATGAACCACAGCTGGGTTTGTGAACTTTGACAGCTACCAGGGGAGAAAAATTACTTGAAATGGGAAATTTCAAAGAAATTTGATCGCTAGGGCCAACACATGTCAATGGAAAAACGTAGTTTGTTAAGTAGGTTGATGGTCTCGGTGCCATTCTTGAGGGAAGACAGTCCGCGTTGGCCCAGTTACAGTGACCTGTGGGCAGAGGCTAACAGCTGATGGACTCTCTAAACAGAGACATCTTAGAGGTGAAGCTGTCACTGCCTCTGTAGTTTGTAATCACAAGGACGCTTCAGGAACATGAGACATCAGCATGAAATGTTTGTCTTTCTGTATCACAGTCCTTGCAAAGACCATGCTTTATTTTCTAGCATTTTTAGATCACTTATTAAAACCTAGAGAAGCATTGCTTAGACATTGGAGGTAACCTTCTAAGAAGAAAAGGTGCATGTAGAGCTGTTGGTTGGTAACTGTGTGTCAGACGAATGCTTTATTAGGCAGCGAGCTTAGTGTTTGGATGGCATTACCCATTCCTGAAGGATTTATAACGTGCTATTGAAACCAGAGGGATTTAAACTAAAAGCTTGCAAAGACTCAAAAAACATTTAACTTTACACCTCATATGTAGTTCCAGTGAGGTCAATGAAGCCATTCACCATGGAAAGTTAAGTATGTGTGTAAATCTCAGCAGAATTAAGGATTTAGCTTGATTATCTCCCCAGGGTCTGGAAACAGGGGCTGGTAGTTACCAGATGCAGAGCCCAGGAGATCAGAGACAGATTCTGTCTTTAAATATTGGCCTAATTGAAAAGCAGCATTAGAACTGTTGAAAAATCCTGGCTTCCCACTCGAAGTGGGAATTGTATGTCTACAGACTGCTACTTAAAAAACTTGCTTCCTCATGGCAAAGAAAAAAACAGGTGCATTTTGATTTTTATGCAGTAAGTGTTTTTAATAGCTTTGGGGAAAAAAGTAGTTTGACGCATTTGGCAGAGAGGGTGGATTTTGGCGGCAGGGCGGCACGATGAGTGTGTCAGAGCCTTGAAACCAAGCGGTCTTCCAGGGTTTGTAGGGGCAGAGAGTTCTCCTCGTGTGGCGCCCGTGCGCTGCAAGGGGCCCCTGGGCGCCGCCTGAGGGGCGCGGGGCCCCAACGGTCGCCGGGCCCCAACGGTCGCCGCGCGCCGCTTCAACGGCCGCAGCGGGTGGGGGCGGGCGGCGCCGGGCAGAGCGCGGGGGCAGCGCGAGGTGGCCCTCCACGCGGCGGCAGGGGAGGAGGGAGCGGAGCCGGCCGGGGCGGCGTTGCGGGGCGAGGTAGGCGCCGCATGGGCGGGAGCGGCCGGGGCAGCGCC